CCCTATATGTTTATGGTATATTCATAGGTAGGTGTCAAGCACACTGATATGATGGTGTATGGCATTTATTGTAGGAACATTTTATGCTGCTGTTATTTGCCTTAAAAAAATTGATAGTTGGTGTTGTAAGAATTCCATACATAGTTATGTTAGAGTTGGTAAGTTTACGTATCAGTTAAAGCATTTATGCCTGCCTTTATTACTGTATGAAATCCAACTCATGGTTGCAATAAATGAATGAATACATTTTTTTAATATACACAAATAAAACAGATTATCAATTTCGGTGTTAATTATTACATTTCGGTGAGTAGTAATGGGTCAAACACTCTTGTATAATGGCGTACGGTATTTATTGTGAGAGCATTTCTATGTTTCTTTTATTTCTCTTTAAGAAAATTGATGGTTGATGTTGTAAGAATTTCATACTGTTCTGCTTGTGGGTGTACATGTTCAGTTTTATCTAGCTTTATGTCAAATATTTAAGAAAATGTGAACTTTGTGAATCGTGTTGATAAAGGACGTGACGTGTAAGGAGTATGGCTTAAATATATTTTGTATTGAAGTCTATGGTGTAAAGATAGATATCATACTGTTGTTCGTGCAGTACCATAGTGTTTGAATGTTATTTTAAGAAGTTGATGACTGTTTAGATAGATTTTGGTGATTTCGTTGCGTTCGCAGTTTACATATTTTGAATGGTTGGTAGTGTACAGCTTTTGTTTTATGTTAGAGTTGGTAAGTTACGTATCAGTAAAGCATACATACATGAAAAAGGTTGTAATTATTCGGATTTAATTATTAGATTTTGGTGGGTAGGAGTAAATTATGTATATATTACTGTATCAACTTAGAACAGTGTTTGTTTAAACTGTTTCTTATCAGCATGTTAAGTGCATGTATTGCCAGTGACTTTCCTCTCTTAACCTTTATTATACACAAAAAACTGGAATGTGATAGACTCGTCGCAAGTTGGTAGGATTGTAATAAATTATAGGAATTGCCAAAAAAGTTTAAAAAAATTAGAACCAAAAAATGACATTGACCGTTACGAAGTGAGTCTACTGTAGAAATTGCCATATTTTGAATCACTGAATTGGGGGAAAATCATGAAATCAATCAATATAATACATGATGTAATTTGAATAATTGAATTGATCTTTCTCTCGGTGGACATATCACTTACAGGAGTTATTCCAAACCTATTTACTGAAATAGGATATAAAATATAAATGAATATATTTCGACTGATGAATAGATATATAACAAGATTTTTTCAACCTCAAATAAAAAAAAATATATTATTAAACTATTGTAAGGCAGATCCAAAAAGTTAATTATACTTAAATATATTAAGGCGATTTCTTACTTGAGTAAAATTGTTAGTTTCCTTCTTATCATTTTTTTGTTACTAACTGATCGTTTAGTGTTATTCAAATCTCGAATACATACCCCTTTTTTCTATTACTAATATAATTATAATGGATCGGAAATGGAACAACGGAATATGTTTTACGTGTATCTGTTGATTAAAGCAGATTACTTTATTCAGCACGTATCATTCCAGGTTTCTTTGGCTGCCATCATTGTTAATCATTTTGAAAGATCTCACGGAACTTAGGGCTATAATTGATTCAAATAATGTTAGTTTTGGAAAGTGTCCGTGACTGCGAAAATATATAATATTTTAAAACAGGATAAGCCTCGAAACTTTCTTAGGATGTCGAGACAAGTAACGGCAAGCACCCCTGATTTGAAATCAAAGACTTGTCAGACTAGGTCAGAGTAGATCATTCTTAATCATTTTTTAGAATATTAGTTTATTTCAGAGACTTATTTTTGGACAAACTAACATTTTACCAGCTAAGAGAGTTTAATATTGAAAGCGAAATAGTACGCAATTTACTTCCTCAGATGCTTAACACTAATTATAACACACCGATTGCAATAGAGATTTTGTTTCACTTTCAAATTGTAGTCAAGTTTCATCGCTTCATTTCATGTGTAATAAAGTGACCGTGTGCATTGTGTAGTTCACATCCTGGCTGTATTTGTTCTTCTTTCATGTATAAAGTTCATGTTTAAATGAAACGAAATGAAAAGGAAATAAGTACAACAAGCTCTCTCTCTCTCTCTCTCTCTGTCTCTATCTCTCTCTCTCTCCATTACCCGTTCTCTTTTTTTTTCTCTCTCTCTCTCCCACGCACCACACACACACACACGCACACCTTATCACACACACACACGCACACACGCACACCTTATCACACACACAAACACACACACGCACACCTTATCACACGTACACACACACTCATACGCCCCTCTAGCTCTCATTCTATATCTATTTATCTTTGTCTCATTACCTTTCTCTTATTTCCTTTTACTTATTCTCCCCTCTCCCCCTTCCCTTTTTCGATTTCTATCGGATTGCCCCTCTTATCATGTCAATCACTTTCTATCTTGTTTTAGTCTCTGTCCTTCCCTTTCTCCTCATCACACTTCCTCTATTAAACACCGTTCTCCCTCCCCCTTTCTCTCCCTTCCTTTCTCAATCATACCCAAGAGCCCAAATTCACAAAGGAGGTTTGTCGACAAACCTAGGTTTATGTGCGTCATTTGACGCGTTTCGACGCATTTTTACAAACCTTGGTCTGTAAAAACGTAACATAAACATGGGTTTGTCGACAAACCTCCTTTGTGAATTCGGGCCAAAGTGTCTGTGAAAACCCACACTTGAATAAGCACAGGAATAGTAAATTAGCATTCCCGCCCATGCATTTACTACGCATAATTCTAAGAACAAATATACACAATACAGCAAGAAAATATATAAATAGAACGCTACACTAATGGCTCACTTTTGCGCTACTCTCCAGGAAAGTTTTATGATGTAAACATTCGAATAAAGTTTTGTTTACACAATAACCGGAAAAGAGCCTTCAAATTGGCCGAAAGTGAAATAGGCGTAAGTGGTCTAAGTAGGCTAATATGCTTCATACTTACGCTATTGAAAAGGTCCGCAAATTTGAAGAAAAACCCTCTCTTTGAAAAATGATATAACAAAATTCTACGTAAAAAACAATACACCGAAAGTAACATATAATTGTATAATTGAGCTTGAAAGTAGGCCTACAAAAGCTTTACAGTGCGTCCCAGAAAAAACAAAACCAAGAATTATTAATGTTTTATCATGTCTTAATCACAACTATAATTAGTAAATGACACATATTTGTAAAGCTTAGATTGTTCTCTTTCATTTGATGCAACTCATATTATGCATATTTTACGCATGTGTGATTAAAAATAATTTAAAGGTGAAAGACTTGATGCATGGCTGATCGTCAACGAAACGGAGTTAAGTCTTTTGTCAACTCTGTTTGTTGTTACGGCAGGCAGCTAGTGAAAACGAATTAGTTTAATCAAATTGTGGAAATGCAAGCATTACTTTAAACAAATAGAACCTTTTTATTCCTGGCTCATATTTCCTGACTGAGGTTTCATATAAAAGTGCAGAATATGAACTTTCTAGAAATGTAAAATTCAGATAACGCCTGCCAAATTACTTTTTGGTACCCTCTCTTCGATTTGTTTTAAATCACTCATGCGTGAAATATGCATTATATGAGTTGCATCAAATGAAAAAGTTTTTTCTGGGACGCACTGTATATGTATTTACAAACTTCATCAGTTTATTTTGAGAGATCTCTCTTTTTTATTGCCTATTGATGCCCTTTGAAACTTGAGAAAATAAATTCTAGATCAGTTTCTCTTTTGCTTACTTTGATTGTCCGATTGTTGCTATCTGAAGTTGTGATGATTAAACTTTAAAAGAAATTAAGAGAGAGAGAGAGAGAGAGAGAGAAGAGAGAGAAAGAGAGAGAGAGAGAGAGAGAGAGGAAAAGAACGCGGGGGAATGTGTGTGCGTCGTGAGAGTGCTTGCACGTCAAGATGCGTGCGCGTGTGTGGGAGAAAGAGTGTTTGTAATAGTATGATGAGAAAGAAAGGCAGATAGAAACTTAATCGAAAATAAATTACCATCAATCCATGTCTTCAATCTTGTATCTTTTCCCATATTGCTATTCTACATTCTAAATGTGATCGGAATTCTTCAACATTTTCCTGCAATTCTAATATTCGCAAACACTACAGCTGTCGGACAAGAACTCTAAACTTTAACATGAAATTACATTTTCATCTGTCATCATTTCAATATCCCGTCTTCTGGAAGGTAAGTGTTTGGACTGAGATATTTTACGTCAAACAAATAATACCAACACCTTTCGATGTACTATGGCAGCCAGTATTTGATAATCGGCTCAGCCTAAATCAAAAGAACTATTATGTCAGTTGGACTCTGATTAAAATAATCATTACCGAAGTGTTTTTTTTTATCTGACTAGTGTCCTTCAAATATGCAAAACTGGATACTAAAAACGATCATCACTGTTCAGAAAGAAACAGAAAGATAGGAAAAGGAAAAGATTGAAGAAAACACCAGGGCTCCACTTTATGTAATTTTTAATGTACTATAAATTAAAGTGAATAAAATTCACTGTACGATTATTATTCATTCATCACGTATTTGATAGTTTACAAGCAATATTTATGACATTATGAACTCTAGAAGATCACATTGTTATTAGATCTCCATTCAAACAGCCAAAGGAATAAAAGATGGATATTCAATGTTTTTTAGATAATTTTAAAATGCTATCTTCTGATCTATCTTAATCTTGGTGATGAAAAATTTAAGTATAATGTTCTCAAAGAGGAACATTAAGGAGGATAAATAGAGTTTCTCATTCTTTTTCTTTCTTTCAAAATTCAAGATTCTACTGTACTCTTATATAAAGAGCAAAGGGAAAACGATAAATGAAGAAGAAAAAAAAAGGACATCAGAAAGACGGGTACTGTCGGATTAAGTGGGGAGGGGGGAATAAACCGACCCTGCCACTTTTAGAACAACATTTGAAATTCATTAGTAAATTACACAAAAATTGTTAACTTTTTCTTCCTTGCTTTCATCTTCCCCACCATTTTAAAGAATGTTAAATCTACCTCTGGGACAAGTGTAATACTGCCATTAATTTGTGTTTTTTTTTCAGGCCCAAGTGAAGCATTAACCATGGCTAAAGTATATACCCAGAGGCTTAGATTCAAAGGATGGACTCCGCTCTTGTTCCTATTGATCGTCCTTGGTTTTGGTCCGGTCGGATCAGACACCCGTTCTTTGAGTCCTGAATATTTGAGTTCACTCTCAGTCAATGACCAAAGAAACGTCCTCTTGAACAATCTTAACATTGACAAGATAGAACTGAATGTTTTTCAGCAGTTCGAAAATGTTTTGAGGCTTAACCTTAGCCATAACAGTTTAATTTTCCTCCGTAATGGAACGTTTCGAGGACTACAGAAGATGCAGGTCTTGGACCTACACAGAAACAAGATCAGTACCATTAGATCGGGAGCATTTTCAGATCTGTCGGAATTAACAAGCCTTGATTTGAGGAACAATGACCTGACATCGTTATCCGACTGGTTGAGGACATCGCGTCTGGGAAATCTGAGAAAACTTTATCTAGATTTTAATAACATACCTCTCATTGAACATGGGGACTTTGAGGGTTTGTCTTCTCTCTGGTTTCTTCACCTCTCACGGAATGGTATTCGAGAAAAGGGGCACGGTGCCTTCTCTAGATTAAAAGAAATATCTGTACTAAATTTTTCTTATTTTGAGCTTCTCCATGAACTTGATCTTAGTCATAATCATCTGAGGGAGGTGAGCAGAAACCAGTTTCTTGGACTTCGTTACTTAATCGAACTTGATCTCCAGCACAACAACATCAGTTCTCTTGCGGAAAATGCATGGGCAGGTATGATTAACTTATTGAAACTACGTCTATGTTACAATAGGATCACTAATCTAAAAAATTCTTCTTTCGCTGGTTTAGGTAATGTAAATGTACTGTTTATTCGTTATAATTCCATAAGCACCATTCGAGACGACGCTTTCAAGGGTTTGGACAGTTTAGAAAATCTCGACTTGACAAACAATCGAATCCAAATTTTACGATCTAGAATATTCATGGAGCTTCAGAACAGTCTGATTTACCTCCACTTAGAAGAGAACTTGATCCAGGTCCTTTCACATGACACATTTTTTAATTTGACAAACCTAAAGAGATTGCACCTAAACAGCAATGCGATAGTCAGCATCACCCCTGGTGCTTTTGCTCAATTAAAGCAACTGCAATTCTTAAATCTGTCAGGAAATGCGTTGGCGACGTTACCTGGAGATATCTTTCAGGCGACAAATCAAGTCCAAATAATTGACTTATCAGGAAATGATTTGACGATATTGCCGACGGGGCTCTTCTCGAAAACGTTGAAGCTCAAAGAGCTGGATCTTAGGCGTAACTCTTTAAGGACTCTTCCGAAAAAGGTCTTTCCATTAAGTAATGTCGATACCGTTAGGATTGGCCTTGACCTGAAGCTGAGCGGGAATAACCTCGATTGCAACTGTTCGCTTGAGTGGTTTCGATTAGGTATCACAGCGAATAGTGGGACTGGAACACGGGAAGAGGCTAAATGCGAATCACCTCCTAGCCTTCGTGGACGTTTTCTTTCCGACCTTGGCAAACCGTTGCCTTGCACTCATGGGACTGATGTCGGCAACACGACCCATCTTCTGCCAGATCCGTCTGAAAATCGAACATCATTGAACGCTCTGAACGTTGTCCTCTTCGGCACTCTACCAACACTGGCTGTTGTTGTTGTTATTGGGGCGAGTGTTTATTTTGCGATCATCAAGAGGAGACGACTTTCTCAAGAATTACCGCTTGATCATGGTAATATAAGGTCACCAGGGAACGCCGACTTGGATGCCGAAGGTGTAAGATCTTCTCTTAATGCGGCCTCCACCTTTGTCAGGTTCAGCGATGGTCACGTGGGTGAGATTTCCAATACTTCAATAGATGGAGATTCTTTTAGTACGCTCGATCACACATACTACCATCGAGAGAGGGAAGAACTGTCTGGAAACGATGCATCTTCAATCGACTACGGTGTCCCAGGGAGGGTGGTGCACTTATGCCGTGAGACACAAAGGAGTTGGCCTCTATACCACAGCACTGACGCACAGGCGGGACAGGCATCACCGAGACCGATTATTACGAGAACGTACTTCGGTGTAAATAATAACGTCTAAAGCAAAATTGCTGTGAACTTAAGGTTGAGTCCATCCCTTGCGCAGGGTATTAATGTGAACACTACACTAAGAAGACCTACAATCAGTGGCAAATGACAGTTGTTGTCATAAGCTACTGATATCCTTGCTTCTGATTGGTTATAAACAGATTTGTCACTGATTTGTGTCATTTGTCATTGAAAAAAAGGCTTAATTTGTAAAACGGGTCTCTGGAGTGTAACTTCTTAGGGTAGATGATGCGACACGTTCTCTGGCGATAACTGCTCTGGGCTTTAGGTTTAGGGTCGCAATTTGGTTTAAGCTTAGGCTTATGATTGGAGTTTGGGTGAGGTATAGTGTTGTCTCACGTGTAGACGTTAGGTAATAAGTTGGTGTAGGAAATTACGGTAGAGCTATTGTCGCAGGAGCATTATTTTGTCGTACCACAACAGTACTGTAGAGTTTCTCATTCTTTGAGCACTTTAAGATCTATGCAGGGCTAGGCTTATTTGAATACATCTAATTAATAATAATATCACTTTAATTCAGAGCAATATGTTGGATGATTTGCATATGAATATTTTCTCTTCCTTTCTATACAACCGTGGATTTTTGCTCTTCACGTCTTCTCAACCTATTAATGGTACAATCCATAGTTCTATCAGTCTAATGAATTTAAAAGCTTGTAATTTACACATATTGTGCTGATAACAATTTCACTGACATTCTCGAATGCAAATTTTGAAGCTGTATCAAAAATATGAAAATCATGAGCATGACTTAAACATTTTCCTTCCAGTGATAATACATAAAACCAATAACAGATCGGTAAAATTATATCATGTATGTCTATCTAAAACAGCTGACGGATTCTGTAACGTATACCCCTACTTCTATTTTGTCTCTTTCCGTTATCTCCTTTATTTACTTCTTCTTGTGGAAAAGCATAACTATAGAATTCTCACGAATAGAAAGGAATCATACAATATCCAATTTCTAATTTTAATACCAAGCTATAGGTACGCATCTTATCACATCTTGTAAAGTGTTATTGTTACCGTAATTCATCGTTAATACAACGAAAGTGAATTACTGCAATAAATTAAATCTTAATGTTTGATAATAATGAGTCATAAACACTTCCTCTCTTTACCCAGCATGTAGTCAACAGTATACTGTACTTCAACTTCAAGGATGGACAAAGGTGTGAAAAATTTTATTGTATATATGTACATCTCGTTTTACAAGGACTGATTTCTGTTTTGGTCAGGACGCCAGTGTTTTAGTTTCATATGTGCTTGCATGTAATTATAGCCTTTAAAACTGCTACTTGGGGTAAAATTTCAAGGAAACCAGTATTCCCCGTCGAAATTAAAGCGACTCGGTAACATTGTTGAAGGTTGATGTTGTTGTTGTTGTTGTTGCTGTTGTTGATGAAAAAAATGCTTAATTTTTGTATGAAATATTACTTATTATATCCCTTCTACTGGAGGCCTACTAACCTTCTGACATGCAAAAAATCCTGAAAATTGTTTTCTTTGAAGGTGTCACTGTGCAACACCCGCTAACAGTGATTAAAAGTAAATTCTCCTAACCATTTTTGAATTTTCCCTGCCGTATTTCCATGAAAAAAGACATAAAACAGGCTATTAAAAATCTGTCAACACCTAAATGTCTGGAATGTTATGTAGAGCCAAATTACCGCTTTGTGACGATTTAAATTCACCTAAAGTGTAATTAAATTGTAATTATATAGTTGGGAGAGTTAATTAAGGAATGGATCAGATCAGTTTTCCCCAATTTGTATCATTAATAATGGTCCGGCGTTTACACTAACATTTTCAGATTATGTTGTACATCTAGCATTGAAGTCACTACCTTAGCACCACTTTCTCTCATCTTAACAATGTTACCAAGTCCCTTTAAAACTGCTACTTGGGGTAAAATTTCAAGGAAACCAGTATTCCCCGTCGAAACTAAGCTCCCTATCTCTCAAGAGCTGACCACAATTGGCATAAATAATGCTAATGTATACAAGAAATGTAGGAACCCATGGGACAAATCATCTAATAAAGTAAGACCTAGAGTAGCATCGATCTGGATGGAATTCACCTTAAATGAATGACTTGTTGCTATAATGGGCAAACCGCTAATAAGTTGGCGAGTCATCAAGCATACTTATTCATTCAGGAAGTACATGTATACATGAAAGAGCAGTTTAGACCGTTTATTGACACACACATAACTTTTGTATCCTGTACATATGTCAAGACCTTTTTTTAAACATTGATCTCTTTCAGCCATTCCCCCCTCCCCGTTTCATTCCCTCTCTTTCTTTCTCTCCCCCTCCTTTCTACTTCCCTTTCCCCTTCTCATCATGCACTCTCTCTCTCTCTCTCTCTCTCTCTTATTCTCCTTCTTTCTTCCTCTGTCTTTAAAATTTGGGCAAACGTCACCTCATACGTCAGCTCATATTCGGGAAGCAAGGAGAAATATACATATATGCTTTTATCATATACATATCCTGTATTATTTGTTCCTCCTTTCACTCGCTCACAACACTTTAAAAATGGTGATATTCTGGCAAGAAACATCAGCCCCCCCCCCCCCTCCCCCTCCCCAGTGAAGTTGACCTCTTTGCTAGTGTGACTTTCCTTATTGTTTAGTCTTGACAATCCATGTACAACTATTAAAATGTAGATATTAATAAAATATATCAATAACACTGTAGTAAATGTATACTATAATTTATTGTAATTTGTAATAATATATATTCAATTCAATTGTATAAGATATGAATTAAAAATTAATGAAGATAACATATTGTTTTGCTCCTTTTGTACAATATCACAATTCATCTGCATGTAAATTGTCATAAAATATATTGCATAATGCTGAATGAAATATAAGACCAATAGATTATACAGTTATTGTGATTGATTGCTTAATTTACAATAACCACAAAAAATAAATGATAAATTAGCGTAATTACATTGCATACAAAATGTAGACTGTGTTACAAATGACAAAACAATTTTGTAAATTGCAATTATTTCTTTCTTCACAATCGAAAGATATATCTTTAGAATTCATGAAATAAAATCTTCAATTTCTTTCTGGCAGTAAAATCTCAGTTTTGTTTAGAATTTTGACACTTACAATGAGAAAGTAAAAGAGAAACTTCAAACCAATGCAAGGAAACTGCACTTGATCACACTTTGGTTATAGAGCTAAAAATAAATGCAAAGGAAGTGGAAGAAATCAAATGAATGTCGATGAGAACAAAGAATATTGAGGGTGATTATTTCCTTCTTTTGAAAGAAGGCTTTCATTTTAACAGTATTATAGAATACAAAAATTGAATGTATTGGAGGCTTAGGTTGTAATCTAATTTCAAAAAGTAAATTTGGAATGAGTTACGTATATGATACGTTGAATGATGATATGCATTCAATGTACAAATTTTGTGACATAAAATCAAAGGTATTTGCAATCTCCTACCTTGTTTTTTTAATCTCAAGTTATATTGGTGATACACACTGGCCCGATATCTAATTGCTAAATCTGGCCCACCTTATTTACATATGTGTTAAGCACCCTCGGGCCAGTCCTTTGGATAGGACAGCAGCAGCAGGTACCATAGATAATTAGACCAAAGATAACTAGCTAATATATTTTCTTTCTAAGCTACAAACGTAAAATTAACATAAATCCATCATTTTATAATATCAACTCTAATGATGCATGAAATAAATGACAAAATCTGTTAGAACTACTGCTGTTATGGGCTACTTCAGTACAGGGACATGAACATGCAATTTATCATATATTTGAGCAAACTGGCTTCACTTATTGCTGGGAAATGGGTGGAAATTGATTGTTTTTATTGTCTTCTTACCAGAGCTCTATTTTCAGTTTATCAGAGCTCCTTAAGTTTTTTAGTGCTTAACTGCTCACCACTCCCCTTTTTTTCTCACCGGAAAGAGAATCCAATTGGTATTCAGAGTCTAGATGCAGGCATATGGATGAGTTCTTTTTGTACCAGCTTGGCGGCATCCTGTGCACAGCCCCAATGTAGAGTAATTCCACATCCGCCATGACCATAGTTATGCACAACCTAACAAAATAAGAGAACGAAGGAAAGAAAAAGGAAATAAAGAGAGAAAAAAAAAAAAGAATAAAGGGTTAGCTAGTGACAACTTAGCAATATCTCCATCTTGTAAATTCAAGTATTCAAATTTTTATTTCCACATAACTCCTAAAAAAAACAAGTTTTATATATGTAAAAGATATAGTCATGAAAACAACAAAAGAAAAACATCAGAATATGACAGTAAAGACATAAACATAATAATAATAATAATCTTTCAAAGTCCACTCCAAATTTTATTAAGTTAAACCGAAAATGGAAATTCCTTTTGCCCGGCAGCCACTGAGCAGCGCCAGATCGACGTTGCTCTATCCCCTGTTGTTGAACGCCAAACTAGGTAGCAACAACTCCCATCTTTTAACGTCTTTTGGTATGACGCGGCCGGGGTTCGAAACCACGACCTCCCGGTTGTGAGGCGGACGCTCTACTGACAACAAAGTAAAGTATATATGGAGGGTTCAAATATTATGCTTCCTGGGAGTAATTTCAATTTGTAAAGAAATTTAGGCTCGCTTCGAGTGAATATTATACAAATAATGAATGGTTATGAGTTCAATAGTGCAAATATTTTCATGAGTTGAAAGATTAACATTCTATTCAACAAGGCGTCAGCCGAGTTGAATAGAATTAATGTTAATCTTTCAACGAATGAAAATATTCGCACCATTGAACGAATGAAAAACATTCATTATTTGTTTTATACAACATCGAAGAAGATCTAATAGAACGTTAATCAACAAATTGTGCTTTACTCCTTATATTAAAGATAAATTCAAGTTGGATTCAAGCCTTCTCGATTACATTCAGATTGCCTTCGCGTCAGATACACGCAGGGATACGCGCGCGGACGGCAGAGAGGTACGCAGTCTGCATATAACCAAAAATGCACGGCGCATATAACCAAAAATGCACGACTGTGCAATATGCCATCTATTGAATATCATGTGACCAACAATCCTCCAATCAAATGACAGGGACCCACCTAGGTGTTGTATAAATATATATATGAAGGGATTAACAAAAGACCCAAGGCCTCTCTATTGGTTCTGATGAGCTTACCTTGACCTTGTCGGAGCCGTAGGTCATAGTTTCTGCTTCTACCCTCACTCCTTTGGAGCGCTGGGGTCTTAGTCCAACCCAGTGCTTTATGATCTTTGCACTCTAAGGAGAAAAATTTATAAAAAAATAATCACATATTTTTCTTGTATTGCTACATTGTTAAATTACACGTAATGTCTTTGAAAAACAATTTTCATAAGCAACAAAGTTGATAATTTTGATTTTTAAAAAAAAGGATTTTAAATCTCCCAATGTGTTGACAATTTAGGATTTTAAAGCTTCTTTTATTTTGCGTAATACCTGGCATCAACGCAGCATATCAATGAAAATAAAAAAGGATGCAGTGCGTGCAGAAAATTTACTCCTTTTACTCATGCATCTAGCATATTTTATAGGGCTCTGAATAAAATATTATTGAGCCAAGAAACAAAATGTTAAGACATTATGCAGCAAAAAATTAGCATTAACAATGAAAAATATACAGTAGGCTTGCGGGTGCACCATGTGAGAGAGAGGGAGGATTGAGGAGTCCTGAAAAGGACTCTTGGTAATCTTTCTTGAGGGTGTGTAGTCCTGAAAACGACTCTTTGTGGAGTCTTGAAAAAGACTGTTGGTTATCTTTCTTAGCTTGTAGTTCTAAGGAGAACTATAGCGCTTGGTGAGGATGGGTGGCAGGAGTGGCTCATGGTGCACCCGCAAGCCTACTGTATATCTACATCACCATGCAAGCCGATACTTACAAACAGCAAAGAAAAATATGTTGTAAAGTGTAATACTGCACTTCACATTTCTGTATCTTATAACACAGAGCTCAATGAATACGCGCAAGTCCTTTGATGCATGAAGATGCCAGTCAAGTACACATAAAAATACGGCAGCGCCTTTTTGCGGTGGTTTCCCGCACTATATCGGAACCAGCCTTGATTGTCTTGTTGCGAGAGGTATACCTTGAGACTGGGGACGACCTTGCAGGCTCTCTCCCAGATCTGCTTAGCATCTTCGGGGTCAACTTCTGTGTCCCATCTCCCAAGCTGAGCTGTGCCCCCTACAGTCACATCATCTTGCCTGTCGAGAAAACAGAGAAAGGTTTACTTCCAGGGGGTGTTTCACAAAGATCCCAAGTTGAACTTATCTCTATAGAGAGCCATTTGTAGCCTTAAAATAAAATATATTCAAAAGCAAAAAATATTTTAGACTATTTATAAATTCCACATTAGGAACATGTAATCTCCCTTGATAATAGAAAATGTGAATGATTTGAATCAACATTTTATGCCTTTTAAAATGACTTTTACAAAATATTTTCAAGGATGCTAACAGCTTTCCATAATTTTAAATTCAAACTTAGACTTAAGTTTGACTTCGGATCTTTGTGAAACACCCCCAAGGTACAATGTGGGAACTGGAGTGGGTAGCTCTGCCCTGAGTGAATGGCTATAACATGTAGGTATGGGCTTCTCAATCTAGATAAACAACAACACTATTTCTTCTAGAACCCACGCCCAATCTGCAATGATCACAAAAAAAAAACACACCCGACACAATGAACAATTATGTGCAAACCTATTTCCTGATGTACATGTATGCCCCCTTCATGTGTACGAAGCAGTGTAAAACCCTTTATGATTTATTAACAGGATCAGGATCATATATGAAATTTCTTTCAAGGTTAAAATCAGATTTAATGGCGATATTTTCTAAATACTTATGATTAATATTACCCTCATTCCTCTTTTTAAGCATCCACTGCTCAACCATTTTTGGCTCAAGTAGGTTTTTATAAATGCTGATGGTTCACAGGCTTTAATGCCACTGATTAGGAGAGTTTTGCCAACCAGGGGGACCTTTTCACAAAACTTGTCATCAGTGACAAAGACAAATGACAGATTTTGTTATAAGCTACTGAAATCCTTGCTTCTGATTGGTTATCAGCAGATTTGTCACTGATTTTTGTCATTTTTCATAGAAAAAAGTCTTTGTGAAACAGGGCCCTGGTCCGAGTTGAGCACAATACAGTTAACTGCTTTGTTAGGCAAGCACCAAAAAGAAAATATACAAACAAACATGTATTATTTGTTGCAACAAACTGAAACCAAATTGGCCAAACTAATATGGAATGTATTATTGCTTTTAAGAAAAATCGTCTAGATCATCATAATAAGAAATGGCAGATATTTTGTTAATTCATTTTATTACCAGTAGTACCCTTAGTACATATTATTTGTCTATACAATCATGTTACTTATTATGTATGAGAATTACTTTAACACATACTTTAAAAGATTTTTTTTTTAATGGCCAAACTCTGTGTTTACATGGCTCTGACATGCTTGAAATAAAGGGTTATGGATGTGATTAATATTGTTTTTGTTCCAGGGTTCAAGTTAGTGCCAGTGAAATTGGGTTAATGTAGGAAGCAGGCAGCGTCTCAGGAAACCGTCATGAGTACAAGTTCACCGACATCCCATTGAAATGTGGTGTGTTAAGTTTAACACACGTTTCAATGGGTATGTCGGTGTACTTGTCGGTGTCATGAAATGCTGCCCAGAGCAATTGTCACTAGTGTAAGTGTCATACAACCCCAACAAGACTTCCCAATAATGTCATTAAAGGCATCGTTTAACAATGTTAAATCTGAGATGCATGGCCCTACGTGTACGTGTTATCAGTGTCCGTTATATGGTGTAATATTGAAGCCCTAAAAAATAAATCGCGCTTCAAAATGATCAAGAAGTACCTTAAAAAAGTAAAAATCTTTGAGTGACCGGTTTTACCATACTCGTTTCCCCCAATAGACTGTAGTGTCATGAAAACCGTTTGGCAAATGCAAAATTTGGTTTCGATTTCCAATAAATATCTTGACAACCAGACAGGAGATCGGCTTGTAAAAGTCATGGCCGGGTTCCTGACTGACCTAAAGGGTTATAATTATCATTGCAGCATGAGCTAAATTCAGGATTTTGTTTTAGAATCTGAGACAAAGTTACCGGATCTCTTTAATGAAATTGCATATTTGGATCAGAGAACAAAGAAGATTTTTTGGCATTTGATTGTTTGCAGCCAATTAAAAAGACTTCATACTTATTCTGAGTGAGCCACATGTAGATGACTCGCTGTCAAGTTTGATATTATAAACTCCAATTTTGTTTTGATTGTTATCATTTCTACAACATTTACAGTCATTATTCTTCACAACATGTACATGTATCAATATATCATAGCAGCTTGTCTCTTTACACTATGCTAATAGAAATCAATTTAATACATTACTGATACGGATATTGCATGTATCAGAAAATTATCTACAAATGTAACACTGGTCAGTAACGATTTTTAAACGAAATGCAAAGCAATTCCATCATTTAAAGAGCATAACTTGTATTTTCTGATTGCTCGGCAAGTGAATATGTTAAAAGCTGCTTAAAATTTGCCATGTGTCCAGGGAACAAACTGTAAATGTGTTGTTAAAGGGAAAGTCCACCCCCAAAATAAGTTTGTTTAGATAGAGGCAGAATAATAAGAAAATCAGGTGAGTGAAAGTTTGAGCAAATTCTGAATGAAAATAAGAAAGTTATGAATTATTGAAGTTGTGATCAATCAAATACAAATTGGCAACTCTGTGACTTATTATACGAGCTCTCCTTCATTTGCTTTGTACATAATATTCCATAAAATCATGTTTTCTTCGTTATTGATGACGGAATATATATTTGTTCCTTGCAGGGGGAGTATAGAAACATATTTGCAATTATTATATTTAGGGTGCATGTATGGTTGAAATTTTTCTTGAGGGAAAATGAAAATTTTAGATTTTTTTAGTACTGAGCAAATGGAAGTTGAGCTCGCATGATACGTCATAGAGTTGCCAATTTGTGTTTGATCGATCACAACTTCAAAAATCCTAACTTCCTTATTTTTAATCGGAATTTGCTCAAACTTTCACTGACTTGTTTCTCTCATTTTTCTACTCCTATTAAAACTAACTTAATTTCAGGGTGGACTTCCCCTTTAAGAAACATTCAAACAGGAAAAAACAATGGTCCTCAAGCCCTGTTAAACCTGTTAATGCTTAAACCACCTTTAAAAAACCCACTGCAGCAAATCAAATCATTTTTTCACGCATTAATGATGGTAAAGTGGGTGAAGAAAAAAGATGCATAGAACAAAGGTCCTAACAAAAGCTGTGTGATCTTTGTGTGAATATTTACAGATCTGGTACTTAAATATGTACGCTATGTTTATTTTGCCATGGCAGTATTGTTTAAAGCGATTTACCATGTTACATGTATGTCTCAATGAGGATATATACTGAATAAATTGTACCAATCACCTTAAATGATCTGTTACTTAATACGTACGCTATGTTCATTTTGCGATGGCAGTATTGTTTAAAGTGATTTACCATGTAATGTCTGAATGAGGATATATACTGATTAAATTGTACCAATCACCTTAAAGAATAATTTGTGTACAGGTAGGCGGTAAAAATTAAAATAAAAAACAATTTTAGTAACCTGGCACTCTATGGGTTAAGTAGTTAACAAGTATGAAGAAAAACTGCAAGCGTATATGGACTAGTCGACTCACTAGTTGCATTATGTCCCCAAAAATAAACTTACCGAACGAACATATGACATAGAGTCTCCCCTGTTGATTCCATTGTTACTACATGTGAAAAGCTCATTTTCCCTTTACATGACAGCTAAGGCGTAAGAATGAAAAACCCAGAGATGCTGATTGTATTACATTTTAATTTAAAAATGTTTCAAATTGAGAGAAACAGATCATGAGTTTGAAGAATAATAATATCAAGAACCAAACATTTTGATATTTTGAAGATTCCATGACCCCACAAACCTGCATCTTAGTTTCCTTTGCATGGAATTCCTCGATCTGTATAGAAATTAGGGATTATTTTGAAATGGAGCAATTGTTCCATGGAAGTCTGCATGTACTGAACATGTCATTAAAAAAAGTAGGCACTATCATGACAAAATTATATGAATGTCACATTTACAATGCATATTGAAATGAACATGTATCTTTGAAAAAATGTTTCAGGAAAGAATCAAATCAAGTGAGACCCTATATATAAATGCAAACTGAGATACGCAGTTTATCTTCATGTCATACAGGGATAATGAAGGGCAGGCATGCAATTTGCTAATGACTGCTGGGCAGTATAGCGAAAAATATTGACCGGGCATAGTTTCGGATGTGCATGCACTGCAAGGATGCAATGGTAATTGCTCATGAAGTTAACAGCTGATACCAGCAGTGATATACGCGCAATAATCTTTAAAAAAGTAAATTTCCCTACAAATAGAATTTAGGTCGACAGCCATTTTTCGGTGTGAATTTCTTTTTTGAGAGTTTACCCGTATGCACAAAATGCTGTATATACATGTAAAACAAATAATGACCGACTATTTTGAGACTGCACTTTGCCCCTCGTCTTCTTCTCCGCACAGTTCAGTTTCATTTCAGAGATCACCAAAAGTCTTTACCGTGCCCCTTACAGCAGTCAATATTTGTATGATATAATTGGTATAGCCGAGATCGGGGTACATCTTTTCTACCAAGGAGTGCAATGGGTCTTTCCAGAAAAAACCAATTCATTAAAATCAAATGTCTTATTGGTTTTAATGTATTGTAAGACTGTACGAGTTCTCCTTGTTTTCTTTAAAATTTCAATTGTGGTGGAAGTGTGGGTCCCGGACCCCCACTTCATACACAAAAATCTGGCCCGTATTGACTTTATACACCAGAGATAGGTGGCGCTTTCAAAGGGAAGGAACATGCATGGGCAATTGGGCATACCGTAAATAACACCGAGTCGGGGGAGGGGGGGCGGGGTGTGGGTACAGTAAAAGGGGGCGAAAATGCATCTTTTTATATTGATGTCTCTTTATTTCTACAATTCATTATTGAATCTCATAACAATGGGGAAAAATATGGAAACACGTTTACAGATTTCTATTCATATCTAATTTATTAATGCTATGTAACTGACATGCAAAATGTAGTGTCCATAACATGACATTGTACACTTGAAGTTATTTCAG